GGGGTGCGGGGGAAGGGGTGCAGGGAATGGGGTACGGGAAAGAGAGGTGTAAGTTTAGAAATTTTTTTTTAAGGGTAATTTAGATATTTTATATATTTTTTTTAAAAAAGGGGGTGTGTTTATACGAGAGTGGAGGTGTGTTTATCATCTGCAAAAAATTTTAGCCCACCCAAAACCAATCAGACTGAGACCCATATTAGATGAAGCGGACGATATTTAATGGGCCTTCGAATTTTCGGATTGAGAAAATCGAGTTCAAACAAATTGGAATGGTTGGGGTCAATTTAGGAGTTTTTTCACCCAATGTACCTAACCCGACCGAGATCATGTGTTTTATAAATGAATAACCTACCTATAAAAGCTTATTATGCGAAACACTTCAAACCCTACCACCCCATATAGTGTTATCCCTAGCTCCTTCTCTTGATTTCAAATGCTCCCTAAGACCCAAATCCTAGAGGAGCTTGTTCATTCTCTCAATTTATTTGTTGTTCTTGTTTGTTCTTCAATTTGTAGGAGCCCCAACTTCGTGTGGTTAGTGCTTGTTGATAGCATAGAGTCCCAAGAGGGTCATGAGCAGAGCTTGCCATGCCATGCGTTGCGATGGATAACAAGAAAGATGTCGAAAGTTGTCTTCAATGAAAAACTATAACACCAAAAAATACATTTTTTTAATGGTTTCTCTTTACATTATTCTTATCTTCTCTTTTCTATTTGTGCTAAGCCATTAAAGGTTCTATTTTTCTTTTTTATGGATCTCATGGTTAGTTGTGAAGATCATCTCATATACATAAAAAGAAAAATGGAAGATTAAAAGAAAGATCACTTCATCAAAATAGGAAAGGTATGGCCAATATTTTTTTGTTTTCTAGCTTTTTATTTTTCATCTCTTATTTTTCTTGTAAAGGATTACAAGAAAATATATGCATGTTGGATAAAGTTAGTAAATTTTTCAACAAAGATAATCTGCTGTGAACTTTGTTCTCTGGCTGTTTGCAGGACAATCATGTGCTTTGCTTCTATTGCTCATTCTGATTTGGAGAGCATGTGTGTGATGGTGGAGACTAGTTGCATTTGCTTAGAACCTGAGAACATGGATGGACTTTTATGTTGGACCATTATAATTAAACTGATAAAAGGCCCAATTTAATTATTTTTCTGTGGACTTTAAAAAAGTTAAGCAAAAACAGTAAAAGAAAAGTGCAAAAAAAAAAAAACTGATAAGAAAAAATAAGTTGGCCTAATCCGATTGGACCCAACCGAATAACCCGCAACCCAAATTTCCAAAACCAGCCCCGATCTGAAGGCCCAAAAAGCTAGAAACAGGCCATAAAATTGTCTTGTCGATTTGGGCTAGATTGACATGAGAATAGGAAATAATATGGTGTGGGAGGTACACATAACAGTGAGAGTAAGAGATTAATTGGGGTGCACCCTAAACCACTTGAGAATGTGGATCACTCTAGCCACCGTCGAATTGGCTAATTCTTCAAAAATCGTGCAATGAAATTTATATCCTCCTTGATAGATATTCCCATGCCAAGATGCGCTTTATTAACATTGGGCCGCGCGCTAATCACTCTTTTCTATTGGTGAAAACGTCCATGTAAAATAAAAACACTTTCCCTTGGTTTGCTGCCCCCATGCCTTTACCTTCATACAAATTAAACACGTTAAGAGCCTGTTTCAAACCATTTAATTCACATGTTTACAATGATATGGGCTTAAGTTTTGAAGAGAAGGACAAATCTGCTATTAGCCCAATACCCAAACAAAGTCCAAATGCAACATGGTCAAGCCCAAATGGCAGATGAGACATTGAGATTGAAGTTGTGTATAATTACGACGTGACAATGCTGTTATTAACATGTTTGAATCTGTACGTCAATTTCACATTCAAAGAAAAACAAAAAAATCTAATATAGATACCTTCCAATTATTATGTCTTTTTGTGCATCTCTCTTAGTTGAACGCAAAACCAAATACAGCACATGCCATAATGCTGGTGCAAACTGCAAACATGCGAGCATCACTAGAAAGTATAAACTTATTTGTCATGCCACTTCCATATATTGGAGGGTTATTGCTATGAATTTGCCTTTTTATTTTATTTTATTTTTTCTATTTTCCTTTTTTAGCTTTATTTAGCTCATATTAAGTCTATTTTGGCTTCAAGATTTCCATCTTACTGGTAATCACGAAGTCGAAAATGCAAACTCAATTTCATGTATTAAAAGTATATAGTTTGGCATACGTGCCTTTTAAGTCTCTTAAAAGTTTTTTTTTTCTCCCCAAATTAATTAAATCCCTCAAAATGTAAGTTAAAATTGTTGTAAATTCAACATGAACCTCACAAATATTTGAACATAAATGAGAATTTGAAGATTTTTGGTAAAAGAAAATCAACGGAAGGAACAAATTTGCATAATTTCAAAGAGAAATTTGACTCAAACTTAAAAGATCAAAATTGAAGATAGACCAAACTATAGGAATAAAAATACAATTAAGCCAAAAAAAAAAAAAACTCATGTATCATATCAACGATATAAAATCCTAAGATGCAGATAAGGAAGCTTGCATTGATGAAAAGGCATACAAAAATTCTACATACGAGTTTACAAAATTGCTAGTCTTCATGTTCATGTAAATTGCCAAAACATTTAAAAGATTTGAATACAGCTCATGCAGCCTCCTTGCAAACTCATTGTCTGAAGAATGATCAACGGACATAAAACTGATTAATATTGACAACTATTATGGAATTACTGCAGCATCTTGCATGCTTAGGAAATCTATAAGATAAAAGGATCGAAAAAACAAAGACAGCATTGTAAGGTAATGAATTCTTAGATATTTTAGCAAAATGTAGCTTTATAATTTCCTGTGGTCGTTAGGTTAGAAAAATGTTATCTGTTTTCACTTTTAATTACAGAAATGCCACCTGGCTTCCATTTTATTTTCCGTTCTCAAAAGTTTGTACACGAAAATTATAAAAAGGACATTTTCCCTTGGTACATGACAACATATGTTTTCATGAACAAAATGAGTATTTTATTCCATCTAAGAAAAAAATTGAAGAGAGAACATGGCAATTCCTATTTTCATGTGATGATACTTGAAATTGAAAACAAAGAAATTCTTTTTCTTCATGCCTCATATGCTAATGTATACTTGAATTCCAAAGGTAAAATAGCTAGATACTAAGAATTAGATCTTTTACATTCAAGGAACATAAATATTACCTATTTTGGAAGAACCTCTTTGTGTGCCTTAAATGAGAGAATAACATTCCACACCAAAGAAAGAACATTAGCAGCAAGGACCTGAAATTATGTCCATAATTCCATATATTTTAAACTCCACCATCACATTAAAAAAATGAAGCATATTTACGAAAATCTAAGAAAACTGTAGATGCTACAGTCAATGCATACTGTCAACAAAGAAATCAAGCTGGGGTAAATTGAAAAATATCCTTCTGTAAACATAACCATAGATACCTCCATTTCAGGCATTTGATAACTTCGAGTACACAAAGTATATGTGTGTGCATGTGAATGTTTGGTTTGAATCAATAAAGAAATGAAACAATGAAACAGAGAATCCTCGTGATGTCTCATCCTTTTCATGTGATGATACTTGAAAACATAGGGCCAACAAGATGCATCCCAAAGATCCAAACAGGTTGCAAGATAAAGAAAGACATGTTAACAAAAATTCCTTTCATATGTACAATTCTCTATTTTTGTTCAGCTATAAAAAGGGAAACAAAGGTAGTATGAGAGAGAGTATCCAGAAAAACCTTCTTCCAAGAATTATGAAATTCATTGGAAGCAGTTGACTTAAAATAGAAACCTGGTTTGTTCAAATGAGTTTGAAGAAAGAAAACGAAGCATTGATCTTCAAAATCAAAATGCCAAGTTTTAAGAGTGATGAACAGATTAAGTTCATGGTCAAGTCAAATTCCCAATTTGCATAAGGCTAGTCTGTGAGTCTAACCTGAAATTGTTGTGGAACAAATCTAAAGTTGAAAAATTGAAAAGGTATCCATAGCTGCCAGTTTGCTACAACTGCAGAAAACCACTCCTAAAAAACAAAATTTATGGATGAGTACACATTATTAAACATAACAATGAAATGCCACTCTTTCAACATACATTTTTACAATAATGTACAAGTTAAATAATACTTAACACCCACCTGTTTAAGCTTGGGCACAACTTGTGATGGTCTTCCTTCTAGGGTCACCAATGAAGATAAGAAAACTCCGATGAATATGGGAGAAAATAAGAACTGTGGAAATATTTCATAGCATTCAAAATTAAATTATCATATAAGAACAAATAAATTGATAATAGGTACCAAGTGGCAATACACAGTGGAATAGGGAACCAAGGGAAATATCCCACCTGATCAAGTACAAGCCGCAAAATTGCACCTGATGCTCCAGGAAGTGTAACCAATTTACTCAGATACAAATACCTAAAGATTCAAAGTATATGCCAGGAAATACATTTGAGTTAGACTTGACAATTATTTAGTCACCATCCAAACTTTAGTATACACGATGCTAATATATGCGGAAAATCCCCCAAACTTATACATTAAAAATCTCAGAAATCACTCTTCGTTGGATTCTTCTAAACTTATTCAATAGGGGGATGAATATATATTTGCAACTTATTAGGAAAAAAAAAACTACTCCCAGGACCCAATTTACAACATATTGAAAATATTAATAGATTTTAAACAAAGTCAACTTTCAGGCATACCAACATAGATTCTAGGGCATTACCAGAAATGCAATGTTGGGCCCACTAAAGCAAAACCAAGAAAAGAAAAGACGAATGTCCTCTTGAAGTCCAGTGTCTGCACTTTATCTATCAAAACCTACAAAAGATAATATTAATTTATAAAAAAAATGACAAAAAATATACACATTATATATATAAGAATGAAAAGACATACAATGTTTTGAAAAATAAAGTGTTGGCTTAAAAATGATCCATTTAGAATCAAGTTAAAATGTAATATCACATGAAGCTTGATACCGTAAACAAAGACGATAGACCAAACTGTCATGAAAGCCAAGACATAAAATGCAGAAATAAAAAAAAAAAATATTTCCTGCTCATAAATTGTGAAAATAACAGAAGATACATTAGACTTTCAGATTTAAACACATTTGCTTTTAATTGGAAGGTTCATAACAGTAACATTGCATTACTTAGGCTTTCAGATTTTTCCTTGTCTACACTCTACCCTCCCCTGTGCCGAGCAGAGGAAAAGTTTTTGACAGCATTCGTACCATAAAGTTGGTACAAACCCACAAGCAAAAGAGTATGAGGATTCTTATCTTCGTTTTCCATTAGATGTCCAAATCAATTTGTTAATAACTTAAGTAAAAAACCCAACCCAGCCACCAATTCATTGCTTTTCAAGGATGTAGCCTAAACTCTGTTTAAAATACTTTCTAACTAGCACTTCAAATACATGGCGAAAATTATCATGAATCTTCTAAACAAACAGCGAAAATCTGATGCTGTTTGGCTCTTTTTAAATGTCAATTCCGTAATCTTCATAATTACATCCCTATTCCAAACAACTATTGATTCCACGAATTTGAGCATAATTCCATCTTCCCTGACACTTTAAAATTCCTGAGAAACCTTACATAGTCCGAATGTCCGATACTTTGTTCACACACAAGGTGAAAACTATCATAAAGCAGAATAGTCAAACCATGCCCAAGTAACTTAAAATAAATACCCTATTCTGTAGCGATATGTAAATACAATCAGAAATGCAATGTAATTACATTTACATATCTCTACATATTCCATGCGAATTGCGAAAACTATCTCTATACATCTCATACATTTTGAAACAATCATAACCAAATGCACATGAATTCAGAAACAACCGAAAGAGAAAGGAGCAACAATTTAGAGTAACACCTGGCAAACTAAATCTCCAATTAGTGTCAAAATTGCAGATGTAAGAGCTTTCACCGGAACAGGGTATTTTCCGAGAAGAGCCAAGTACCTGTAGTAAAACAACGCTATATTCAGATTCAAACATAAAGGCCTGTTCCGATACAACCTTAGAAGTTCTCAAAATCGCTTTGAGAATCTAAGTTTGTCACACACAGTTAGTTCGAAGCATAAAACATAGCGTATACTGAGATTTACGAATTTTGTTTACCATGACAATAAGGACCACTTTTCTCCTCCATCGCCGCCGGAACTCCATCGGTCAGAGCCTCCGGAGTTGGGACCGTCAGAGCCGCCGCCACGTGCGCCGTTTCCGCCGGAGCCGTCGTTGGATACGGCGTAGAGGCGGGAATTGCGGAGGCGGAGGAGGGCGGGATTGAAAGGCGCGGCGGAGTTAGCGAAGTTGGAGGAGCGAGAGTGGAATTGAAGGCGAGTGGTGTGTTGAGGACGCCAACGGTTGAGGGAACGAGATGAGAGTAGAAATTTGTGCGCGTGTGCGCACATTGCTCCATACACCATTTTCGCTTCAGAAAGGGTTTTTTCTCCTTCTGTTTTGAGATATGTATTTGAAAACCAAACGCTGCACTGCTAAGTGACTCAAGCAAGCACTTCGCTTTTGGTGCCACCAAGCGTACAACAGCCTCGCGGTTTCACCACAAGCCAGAAAACAAAACCATTGCTTTAGAGTTTATTAATATTAGTTATATTCCTTAAATTATTTTATTATTTAACTATTAAAAAATACTACTATATTAATTTAATTCAATTTTTTTTTTTTACACCAAGAGAATCAAATCAATACAATGAAGTATGTATTTATAAATATTTTCATAATCGAACCATTGTGGCATGCCTCAGCCCTCATTAAATAAAGTCTGAGTTTGAATATTGAGAATGAAAATAATAATAATTAGGGAGACTCCGTAAAAGATTTTATTACAATTTTAATTTATAATATTAAAATTGTCATAAAAAAACAACATAAAATTTTAAATTATATTTTAGAAGCAAAGTAGATAAAGAGAAAATAAAGAGCCTTTTATATTCATTTTTCAAGAATTGGGGTAACTTATTTAAAGATATAAACCATCACTAAATAACTACAAATAATTTAATAATATTGAGGAAAAATATAATTAGTCAATGAATAACAACTAATAATTTTTCGTAACACTTCTCTTAGATGTTAATAGAAAAACCTATGGAACAAAAACTTATTTAAAAGAAAATAACACATCATTTCGAAAACTTCAACCCCAAAAATTCCAAACAAGGTAAACATGCCCTAAGAACATCATTATCTACAACTAGCATAAGAAAAACATCCCATCACTCTGTATAATTAAAAAAAAAAAAGATAAAAAATAAGCGATTAATAATAAAAATGTTAGAACAGTTTCATAGTAGTTAAAGTTTTAAGGATAATTTTTGAAAATATGGCAAAGAGAAAAATAGTAATTTAAGAGATAATTATAGAAATAAAATTATTTAAAAAATGTACGAATCTATTAATAATGAATCTATTTGTTTAAACTTAAGAATAAATGTTTTTAAACAAATACTTCACAAAAAAAAAATTCTTTAAGTAGATAAAAGTTACATCTTAAAAAAATAAAAAAAAATTACTTATTATTTAAAAAAAAGTTTTTAGACAAATACATCAAAAAGGTATAAAAAAAAATCTTATTTTATTAAAAAAACGCTTTTATAAGAAAAAAAAAAATTAAACAAACAAACCCAAAACTGATATCAACGTAACTTGAACAAAATGGAAAGCGCTAATCAGTGATGTTACCACATACATTTATGGTCTATTTCGGTAAAAATTTTCAAAAACATGTATAAAGAAAAAATAGAAATAAATGTAAAATTAATTTCTACATAAATTAATTTATCTTATGTATAAATTATAATTTTTTTTAGAGAAACTAATATGAAAGAATTTTTATAAAATAGTTTATGGAGAAGTAAATTTCATTTATTTTTCTTATTTTCTTTCCTATAAGCGCTTCTCCAAAAAATTTATCAAAAAAGAAGCCCATAGTCTAATCTAATCATTACATAAGCATCCTAGTCAGTACATAAGCACTTCATAACTATCATAGGCTTCTTCAGGTATTATTTACCAGTCAAAAGCTCATGCATTGCACCATCATTACATAGGGTTCCTATCATACATAATGAAACATAGCTCCCAGCATGATAAAATGGAACCACTTTGTTGCCCAAGATCAGGCTAACTAGAAGCAGAGACAGGAGTCACAGATGCTAGCCTATGTTTCAAGAAAATAAAGGTTCCAAAGTGAGTTATCTAAACTTTGGTCAACATGAGGCTGCTTGGAAGCAATGGCCACACCATTCATTCTAGTACTTGCCTTTGCAAACATCCTTCACTGTTCAACTAATGCTTCTTCCTCGGTCACCTTAACTCCATTGCTCCACTTACCAACTTTTAAAGAATCCTGCTGGAAGATGACAAAACCAATCAGAAAATAGTTTCCCTTTTCCAAAGTAAATTCGCACAAGCACTTATAACAATAAAAAAAATAAGAGGGTAAAATGGAATATCTAAAGTCTTCACAAGCATAGAAGGACAATGAATACCACTAAATATTCATGGAAGATTTTGGAAGGTTTAAAAATATCCAATTGGCAATTTCTAACGAACTTCACTCCCTGTACATGCTCAAAAGAAGCAAATAAACCTATGCATTTTGGACATTGACCCATTATCCAGCATGTTTAGTTATGTACCCAACACATACTATATCACTTTCACTTAATGGTTGACTAACATATTTAGAATTCAGAGATTAACAACTCACCCGTTTCAACATTTCTCTTACATAAAAGGCAATAATAATTGTTCATACATAACAAAAGGTTTATTTTTTTTACAATGAAACCGTATGTGGCTCAGACGTAGCATAGCACTTGATAATTGACCAATAAAATAAAAACTACAAACATAACTCCTTAAAAACAGTCATTAAGATTAATGAATGCTTCCTAGTCCGTCTCATCCATTATACAATTTCAATAAGTATTTGATGCTCATATATAGCAGTCTGAAACAGAATTGAATATTATGCTGACAGACTTTAAAATCGACAAATCGTAAGTACTGTAGTGTGTAAAAAGTGATTTTACTCATGTAAAAGTTGACTTTAAAGTTTAAGTGGTAAAGACACTAAAGAATGGCTGACAACAGTCAAATATCGATACTTATAATGTAAATGCTAAAGGCTTTCGACATTTATCAGATCTTAGTGTCTACACAGTCAAAGTACTTCAATATTTATCAGCTTCAGAATGAATTAGTCATCTGGCCAACACGAATAAACCAGAAAGAAATTTAGGTTTTTCGGCCAATTGGCATTCACTTTTGCTTGGTCATTTGATTTTAAAAAGGATGGATTAATTATGATAAAGGATGGATTTCAACCCTCAATTACTGAGTAAGTCACCTATTAATACAATAAGAAAGACATAACTAAACATTTTTATATAGTTTGGTTTGGTTCAACATTCAACAACTTCAAGTTAGTAGAAATAGCAAAATAGCAACCAAGACAAAATATTGCTGTAGGGATGCATAGTGCATAACCTGTTTTGCAGTGAAGTGGTATAAATAGTCTGAAGTCCCTCTTTTCTTCTTGAGAAGATTTTTCATCACAATTTTCTTCCAGATGTTTTAAGCCTCTTTTGCAAGAAACTCTGTCAATATAAAGGCTCTAGAGCTCTTGCACAAGATGATTCATAATTTGAAATCTGAATTATAGAAAGGTAAAGAGAAAAGCAAATGGACAAAGTGTATGCAAGCCAGAATCCCGCGAGAGAGAACCAATTGGACACATGTAAAATGTCTAGATGGCAAATGTTTGTCATTTGAGAGCTAGTATGCATGGAGAGCATCCTACAAGCAGAAAAGCACATTTTTTAATAGATAGTAGATGATTTGCCCACAGCCTGTTTCATCAAGCCATCACATGGCAAGTGATGTATCAAGATCAATATAGTGCAAATGAAACATTGCACAGGAGAATAAAAATATGAACTCAATAAGCTAAATATGCTGCCTCTGCTACCTTCACAGAATCAAGGGGATCTATTCTCCTCACAATTCTCCAAGAAAGGAATCACCCAATCTCCTTGTCTTTCACCTTCCTCATTCACTTCATAAACTACACTAGAACTACTCTCTTCCTTAGATTCATCACAAGCTACCAACTGTCTGGTTTTCCTACATCCTAACAATACAAGATCCAACATATTCCTACGCACCTCATACACCGGATTCGGCTCAATCAAACCCCCTTTCCTATAAGCTTCCCTGAGAAAAACAGTTAGAGTCTTCCCTTTAGTAGACAGGTAAAATATACCAGCGTGCCTTAACAACAATTCCCGCACATTAACTTCAATACCAAAGTCCCTACGAAAATGAGCCAACTGATCAACCTCAACCATTTTCTCCACAGTCAAGCTCAACAGCTCATGAAGAACAGCCACAGCCCTCTTCTCGTATCGCTCGATCCCTCCACACGTCTTCACCCGAACCACCTCCTTCTTCTCATAAGGCTTAGTGTATGGAAGCCTCTGCCAATTCTTCAACCTCTCCCTAAACCCTCTCTCAAACTTAAACCCAGTTGGGAAACTAATGGGAAATGCAAACTTAGTTTCAAACTCACTCAACCACTTTTCCACATACTCCTTCTCCCTCCATTTCTCAACCTGAGCCACCCCCAATTCAGCATCCCAATGAACCAATTCCACAACCTCCAAATTAACCAACCTGAAATCCCCACTATACTTGGCCAGAATGGAGTCTCTGAAATCCCCAGGGAGACCCAATTCTCTTCTGATCAACCTCAACGCATGCAAACGAAGAGTGCCACTCACAGACATCATTAACAACTTCTTCACCCTCTTGACAGCCTCCATCTGTTGCTGCTTCAGCACAACCCCTTCAAGCAAGATCAAGTCTTTCATCCCTTTTGTTATCCTGCAACACGTGTTCCTCCTGAGAGGGTGGGTAAAAACGTGGAACACGTGGGGGTGTTTGTGGAGGAAGGAGGCGACGGGGACGTGGAGTCCGAGGATGTTTCTCCAACGGGACATGAGGGTGAGGGAGACGAAGGGACCGCGCTTGCGGGTGGACATGAGGTGGTGGATTCTGAGGACAAGGTCGAGTTTTTTGAAGTGGGTCGTGAACTTGTCGAGGTGGGGGTCTCTTACTCTGTCTTCCAAACGGGTTTGGGCGGAGACGGTGGGTTTCTTCCATCGCCGTTGGATGAAGAGGACCAAGGGCGAGGGAGATGGTGGCAGGATCCTGTGTCTGAGGTTGCACACGAGACTCATGGAATCGCAGTGTTGAAACGCAGATTCATTAGTACATTACACTCGTGCTGTGTGTTTTAGTCTTAGAACTCAAATGAGAGGAAGGGTTTATGCAACAGAAAAACGAAGTGATAAGAACTGACCCAAGAGTTTACATCTACAGATCATGTTTAAGTTTTTTTTTTTTTTTTTAAATATTTGTAAAAGAAAATTAAGAAAAAAGTAAAATATTTTTTTCTTCTCAATTTATAATGTTAGAATTAGAAGTGAAATAAAGAACAAAAAATTCAAAGGATAAAAATATAAAAATAAAATTCAAAAACAAATGAATATATATTTTTATATTAAATTATTTTTTCTATATCATGGTTGACGAAGGATTGGAGATTTTTGTTAGTTTATAAGTGTGATTTATATTCAAAATTCCCCCTTTTTTATCAAATAATAATGAAGATTTAATATTTTCATTTTATGTCACTTTTAATTTTTAAAATATTCACACTCATTCGAACAAATATAAATATATATATATATACAAAAATTTAGGTTTATTGTGTTGTAATTTTTATCGATAAAAAAATATGACAAGATAGCTCATTAAGTTTGAATAATTTATAAGAGATTTTAATTTAAAATTTTAGAATTGTTATTGAAAAAAATAAACAAACTTAAGATTGCCAAGTATATTGCTCACATGAAGCTTGAGGGATGCCTTAAGATGGGAGGTTAATATGAGAATGAATTTCATGTGTAAGAACTATTTTTCTTTTATTTTTGTTTTTTTTGTGTTAATTAAAGAGAAGAAGAAAAAGCGGGAAAAAGAATTAAGAATTTTAGGGTGAATCAAAAGCTAAAGCCCTTCTCTCTCTCTCTCTCTCTCTCTCTCTAACGGAACCAATTCCAAGTTCCAACCATGGCTTCCTTCCCTCCTCCTGGTTCACTCACTCTCTGTGAAGTCAATCGTGACCTAAGTAAGTAACCCTCTCTCTCTCACTCTCACTTTTTTTCGTTTCATTTCTCTGACTCCGATTTTCTCTTTCCAAATCCGCAGTCACCGTCGACGCTCTCTCCGACGATCGAGCCAACCAAACCTACGGAAAAATTCTCGTAACTATTCGCATCAACGCACATTCTCTACTTCCCCACGCCGCGTTCTCATTTCACTCATTGACATTATTTATTTATTTATTTATTATTATTATTATTATTATTCGTATTAGGGATTGGTGTTCAGTCCCGTCCCGTTTCACCCTCCCGAGAACGACGCATCCGATCAGGAGGGACCAACCACCACCACGGCCACCGCCGCCGGAGAAACCGTTCCGAGGAAAGGTCCGGTCGCATTCTTGCAAGGCCTTCTAAACAGCTCTCTCGGTCGCCTCTTTTACCCTAACGATGTATGCTATGCCTAATTCATCTCGCTGTTTCAATTGCACTCTACTTTAACTTGATTTTGTGGTTTGAGTGTTGATTGGTATGCTGTGTGTAGGTGCATTTGTTGCCGGAGGTTGATCTCCAAGGAGTAAGCTGGCACCCCATTAAGCATATTATTGCTTTTATCGCTGGCCCAACGCAAGTTTTGGTTCATGATTACCAAGAATCTGGTACTGTGTTTGTTATGATCGTGTGACGTGTTATTAGTAACTTGTTTTTGGGCATTGTTTGTAGAAATTTCTCAATAAACACCTGTAGGAGAATAAATTAAGAAGATAAAATGATGTAAGCTTTTTCCTTAAGTTAAAATTAGCTTATGCATAAGTTAAAATCAGCTTTTGGAGGAGCTTAAAGAGAACTTCTATAAATTAGCTTATTCAACTTCTAGGAGAAGTTTATTTCAGTTTACCATCTTATTTTCTTTTTACATGAGGGGGTGCTTGTTTCATGTTATCAATTTTTATTTTGGAAACAATATTCTCAGGAATATAATCAAGGATGACATTTGTGAGTATTTTAAAACAGATATGTTGGGTTAGTGTTGGGAATGTTTTTATGAAAGTGGGTATGAAAAAAGTTACAAAATGGATAAAAATAAAAATATTTAATTGCCATATCATGGGAATCAACTTATTGATCTCCTTCCTTGGAAATAAAAGCATGAGAATGTGTAAGTTATCTTTTTTCCTAGGAATGTTCTATGTCTGGGAATAAAATTTGTGATCCTGTAATAAACATGGAAAAACACTTTGCCTTTCCATATATTCCCAGAAATATTGTGAGATACTTGAAACAAACACACCCTAAACTTTTATTCAGAAGTTTATCCAAATAGGGTCTTATTATTGTTATTTTTGTTAGTGTTATGACGGAGGTTTGTGTTTAGTAAATGCTGATACTTTGACATTGTATATAGAGGGGAAAGATCCGAGTATTTTGACAAATGAGTCACAGAGGGATGTTAGAGTGCTGGAGTGGAGGCCTAATGGTGGGAAAATGCTCGCTGTGGGTTGCAAGTGAGGTTTTTTTATTTGTGCATGGTTGTTATGGTGAATGCAGTGTTAATTGGTTGAAAATATGCTTTCTTGTTTACTGGAATTGGGTTTACTGTTGCAGGAGTGGAATTTGCATATGGGCTGCTTCTTATCCTGGAAATGCTGCATCTGTTAGATCTGGTGCTGCTTCCTTTTTAGGAAGTTTATCAAGAAACTCAGGGAATCGCTATATCTTGGTTGACTTTCTTCGTAGTTCATATGACTGTGTTATATTATTATGAACAGGGGTATTATTTTCTGAGTCACTAAAATACCTTGATTTTCAATTTAGTACAATTACTTATCTTGTATGAGTAAGAACTATGAAGAGTACTCACTCCCACAAGGATAGCCAATAATAGCTAGTTATAATTTTGTTAATTCCATAACATTCTTCTTAGATTGTAAATTCTTTTGATGTGCTTTCGGATTTGTGTGAATATGAAAGTATAGTAACTCTCCTCTTTTCTGTTATTAAGTCTTGAATTTGTGTTTTGTGTTGCTTGACGTGGATACGATATAGATATATTTTATTAAAAGAATTTCTAGTACCTTTTTATGAATATAAAAATTTGGATTTTTTATCATTGATTTATTGAATTGGGTATTAGGTAAGGTCAGTAAGTTTTTTAGATAAGTTTAGCCTCCAAAAGTTTACTTCAACCTTGAGTTTGACAAACTTGATTACTTTTTTATTTAAATTTTCAATTTTTTGGCTGTCTATAAAAGCTGCACGAGATTCAGTAAGATCTTTAGTATTTTATTTATGTTTATGACCAATAAAAGAATATATATATATATATATATATTATTTAATTGCGTGTACTCAACTATTCTTTTCTTAAGCTATTTTTCACATACTTAGCAACTGCTTCATATGAAAGCTCCTCGTTCACTGTGTGGGATTATGCTCAAGGTACGATGAAGATCTTTGCCTCCTTAAGTTGTTTTCACTTTACTTTGAAACATCCTTTCTGTTTGGTGATGTTATTATTTGCTGAATATGCTTAAAACTCATTCTGGATTTTTCTTTTTCTGCCTGAATTGTTCTCCTGCAATTTTGAGCGGATATCAAACATACCCTAAACTGCATCTATTTACAACCTAGACTGCTGAACTAAACAACACATTAACATACTGAAGATAGGATCTGGTGGACCATAAACTAAGTTTACTTCAGCAAATCAATATGGAGAAATACACCCTGTTAGCACCTAAATTTATTTTACTTGCGTGACTAGTGACCTGACATCTACCGGAGCCACTGTCTTTTGAACCCAAATGACTTATTTGACATGACTTTGGGATTCCAACGGGGCAAAAAGTTAATTTAATTGTTTCAGAGGCTCATGGCTTGGCTGACCGTGGAATGAGGCAACCTCCCTTCCCCCTAACTTTATTGTACAAAAGAATTGATCAAAGCTCTGTTTCACTAGTTATGCAAGAATGATAATTCTCATGCTAACAATGGGCTCTACTATTGGCTGAAATTTTATGGAATTCACACATTTTTGTGGGTCTCACTTATACAATGAAATACCTTTCCTAATTTTGTAATTTTCAATAAATTTTAGCCAATAGTATAGTGTGTTGCTTGTACTCCTCTTGTTAGCATCGATAGTTTAAAGCTTGTAGTGTGAGGACTGACTATATTTAGATTGTCATTGTAATCATTCAACAAAAGACCAACTACCTTATCTCACTAGTGAGGTCAGTTATGAGATCTCTTTTAACAAATTCCAATCTGTCATGAGTGATCTGTGTATAGGATTTTGTCAAGTTTTTAGATTGGTTGTCAAAGGCCAAACACAACCCTCCTGCTTTACTTGGGCTTGGATTGGTTATGAGATCACAACAATTCACTGTCATTATGATTAAAATGATGTCAAGCTCAAAAGTTTGTCTTTGCTTTCTGAAATTCTGGCTATTTTCAATATTATCTATAGGTGAGGGGACTCCCATTCGACGTGGATTAGGAGGCATATCATTACTGAAGTGGTCACCTACTGGAGATTACTTCTTTGCTTCAAAATTGTAATACAAAGTCCTAAATATGAATTATTTATTAAACATGTACTGTTTATGATTCAAAACCTCATGATGTTCTTGCACAGTGATGGAACATTTTATCTTTGGGAGACAAACACATGGACATCAGAACAATGGTCATCAACTAGCGGTTTTGTAAAGGTATGAGGTTTACATTTGTGTATCAAAGCTCTATTGATGACCTATTTATAGTAAGATGACATTTAGTCCTTAACCTTTGCCTGTGTGTTTATATGTTTGACAATATGTTGATACTAAAAGGAATATCTTCAATAGTATGCAGTGCTAAAATTCTTTAGTTGGTGTCTAAAACGTGAGAGCTATCCAGTAATATACTTTTATCCAGGGAGATGGACAATGTTATTTTTACAATAAAAGATGAATTTATTACATAAAAAGAAAGTCCTGTGTTGGAGGATCGGATATCCTCCTTGGAAGAAACCATAGAAGAGAATAGAGATCATGGATTACTAAAGTGTTAGGAGCTCAATTAACAGAGAAGGTAAAAAAAGCATCTGTGTTAACTAAGGATCTGTTTGGCTATGGAAAATGTTTGATGCTTCTATTTTCTGTTTTTACTAATAATTACCAAAATATTACCATATTTTCAATTCTTTTTTTGTGATTTTTTTTTTAAAAATATGAATTAAAGTGAAAACAAGTTGACATCTTTTTTGTAATTACTAGTGGATATAGGAAATAGAAACGCTTTTTTGTTAAACTAAATAGGACCTAAGAATCCACCTAGGCTGACACTCACTTTACAAATCAGAAATAACAGTCTCCCTTGAAGAAGAAACCATCAGCAGAACACTGAAAAGAAGCATTAAAGTTAAACCTAATATACCATAAATAGGAACATTTTGCTCCAACCAAACACCCAAAAGACTATATTACCCACACACCACATCATTAGTTTAGGATTTTGTTTCTAAAGGAGAAACATAAAAAAAAAAACACTTATTTCTGGATGAGACTGAGAGTTAGTGTTCATAAATATCTTGAGTGCAAGAAGGTACAATGATAAAGGTTCTATGAAAAAAAGATTCATCTATCGAGGAGCTTAACATTTTAGTAAAGTCTGAAGTGATTGGCAAAGTATTATAATTTTTCTTGTCTGATAGCTACCAGATAATGTTCGTATTTAACTGGTTTCTACTTTCAATGATGAGTGATCAGGGTGCAACATGGGATCCAGATGGGCGTATGATACTTCTTGCATTTTCTGAATCGTCAACTTTGGGATCTGTTCACTTTGCATCAAAGCCTCCCTCACTAGGTATCTGACCGTTTTGTTCCAAGATCTTATGTTAATTTGTTTATTGTTGTGTATCTTGCTACATTAATACTGGGAAAATGGAAATGTCGCATTGAATTGAAATATAGGAACTAAATCAAAAGGGGAAAAGAGGGATATAGAATATATTTATTAAAAACTATGGGATAAATATGACACAATTTCCAATTATCAAGTCTATTTACAGTGAACACTGAGCATAACAAAATGGATGGCAGCAAAGACCATGACAAATAGTACTGCCCTTTTGCGATAATAATTTTTTTGAGAGTTGGATGGAAAAAGGGAAAG